ATATATATATATATATATATAATATTTGTTATGAATATATTCATGTATGTTCAAGTGTATATAACAGCTCGATACCATAAGCTCGTAAGTCGATATCACCTTTTTCAACATCGTAAGTCTGTAACCCAAAAATGCTTTTTTCAACGTCGTAAAGTCTATAACCTAGCACCGTGCTCTTCATCATTATAACTGAACAACCATCAAGATCGATGAAGATCGATCGAGACCGACTAGGATCGAGATCTCATCGAGATCGATCGAGAACCCATCCTGACCGATCGAGAATCCATTGATACCAATAGATACTCATTAAGAACACATCCATTGACTTCACGTTTGTTTGTGTATTAAACCATAACCTACCACCTTCATTTTCCATCGAGAACCTATCAATTTATTTATTATGTGTTTGTTTGTGTAAAACCATAACCTAACAATTTTAGTTTTATCAAAACGGATCGGAATCCATCGAGATGAATAGAAAACCCATCGAGACCAATAGAGAACCAATCGGGACTGATGGAGAACAATCGGGACTAATCGAGAACCCACTGAGACTAATCAAGACTAATCGGGAACCCATCCATTCACTTGGTGTGTGTTTGTGCATGTAAAACCATAACCTACCACCTTCATTTTTCATCGGGACCGATCATAAACTTATCAATTGATTTATTGTGTGTTTGTATGTGTAAAACCATAACCTACCACTTTAAGCTTTTATCAAGACGGATCGGGAACCCATCAAGACGAATTAGGAATTTATCAAGAACGATCTAGAACCCAATAAAGAAAAAACCTAGAATATGTAGGGTTGAAACTATATTATTACTAATAATGAATATTATATATATGCATGATGAATATTAAGGTGAAAATTAATACTTATGATGAATATTATATATATATATATATATATATGTATATGCCTGATGAATATTACGGTGAAAACTAATACTTATGATGAATATCATAGTGAAAACGTATATTCATGATGAATATCATACTGAAAAGTTGTTGTATACACGTGAACATAGATAAATATCCATTATGCATAATATGTAATGCATGATGGATGTTGTAGTGAAAATGTATATTCATGATAAATATCATACTGATATATGAATACTAAAAAGTAGTTGTATGCACGTGATCATATATAAATATTTATGATGAATAGTATGTATATCCATGACGAATGTTATATTCATGATGAATATCATATTGATATATGAATATGAAAGAGTTGTTGTATACACAAAAATGTACATAAATATTTGTTGGTCCCGTTAGGGTCTACAAGATATGTATAACAATTTGTAGAAGGGGGGGGATAAATACAAACATAGTAAACATTTCAAATTTAATATATATATATATATATATATATTGATAAAGAAGAATCAATACAGATTTTACAAGATTGTTTGCGGAAAGATAAGGTAAAGATAACATATCTAAACAATCTAAGTGTCCCACTAATTCTAAGCAAAGAGAAATGATTTTTTGTTTAAGACTTAGAAGAAAGTAAGTTCTTTCGGGGTAAGAACTATTTAAAATACTTAAAAGGGATTCTAACTTGCTTTTGAAGATAAGCATATTGTGTTCTTTTGATGTGTGTTCTTTTACATACGAACGTAAGAGTTAGGGTTCAAGAGTAAGAGTTATCTCTGCATGAAGATAGAACACATCTATTTATACCCATTGTATTAAATACATATTTAATGCAATGTAGTAGGTTTTGAACACGAGTCAAGCCTTTAAAGAAAGACTTGTCCTTTGCTACAGTGAATAGTACAAAAGCCAATTCATGAGCAGACATCCTTTCATGAAGTTGGTGGATAGTAGAGTCAACTAATAGGCTCCGTACCGTACTATGCTCTAAAAAGGGTATGGGTTTGTTCTTTGTGTGTGGAAGGACAAGACAAAAACAATCATGCTCAACAAGCTTCTTTTGATCGCTGAATGCTGGAATAACTTGAAGGTCTCTTTAGCATTCGCTGAGGCTTGGGCAGTCTTCACACATATGTAGACCAAGTTGTAATCACTGAATGTCGCCTCAGATCACGAACTCGCCAATCTCTAATCTTCAATTGATCTTCAACTTTCGCTGAAGGTTCTTTGGTGTGAGTTTTGCCTTCTTGAAGTATCGCTGTCGCTGATGGATTTATATTACATGTTCTCAGCGATCACTGAACAGACTCAGTGATGATCGCTGGAACTGAAAGACAGAAACATAAATACTTTGTATAAGGTAAAAGGGATTATCATCAAATCACTAAAAGAGAAGATCAACAATCTCCTCCTATTTGATGTTAAGAAGGCAACATAAAGAAAGTTGTCTTATGAAATAACCATAAGGAAAAGTTATATATAACGTACATGTCTCTTTTAACTGTTTTGGGGTCTTTTTTAGTGATTCAGTCTTTACTTAGAATTTTCTTAAGTTACAAGTCTAAGAAAAATTAAAAGAACGGAAATTGAAACTGAAAGCATGTTCACAGACTTATAGATTGTCAGTGAATGTAAGAGTAACATTGGAACTCATAGACTTGTGTCCCTATTACTCTTTTCAGGGATCTTTTTCAATGATGCACAAAAAAACTTATATTAATTTCAAGGGAAATATTACAAGTCTTCAGTACATGTCTAAAACTTACAAAATATAAGATTAATCACTGAAAGTAGACATAGAATATAGTTTATACAGTGAAAGAACGAAGTACAAAAAAATAACTAATCTAAGTTGTTCAAATTAATGTAGCCAGGTACATATTCTCCGAGCTCCTTTCGACGTCGAAATTCCTTTTTGATCCTGATGTCCATCGTTTCACCATATATGTCATCGTTCAACCAATATCGGGTGTATTCAAGATGTTCCATTGGGCAGAGATGCAACTCAGACATTCTTTGGAACCTGACTTCGCCATCATAGTCAAGGAAAATAAATCTTATCTCAGGCTTCATGCGCACAGTGTTGGGTATATAGGGACCCTTCGCTGGCAATGATAGGTTCAGCATAGATATGTTTGGCTTCTTCAAAGCCTTCAGGACTTCATTTAAGGAAAACTTTGTTTCATGTTCATTCCTCTGGGATGGTCTATCATTAGGGCTTGAAGGCCTTTTTCTTTTTCCATTCTTTTTCAACGTAGGCCTTTCAGGGACTGCGACATACCTGGACTCCTTGATCACCTCGCTGATGATGTCTTCGATAATCGACTTATGTCTGGACTTTGAGCACATAATGGCTTGTCGGATCTCCAGTCATTCGCTATAGCCATATTTGCCAAGGTAGGAAGGATACTCGGTCACGGCCTCGAGATTATCCTTGGTGATGAGCGTGGAGAGCAGCAACCCACCATCTATTATTCATCCGCTGATACTGACGCTCTTGATCGGGTGAGGGTTGATCCTTATGTTGAGACTATCTTCGCTCCAGCGCTTGTTGCGTTCGGCCAGCTTCAGGTTCTTTTCACGTTCAGCATCTGCAATAGACAGAAGCTTATCCTGGGCCTCGACAACGTTCACAGCCATTTTGGATTTTCTCTTGGGAAGAACTTTTTCAGCTAGAGACTTAGCCAACTTTAAGTTGTCCTCAGTCTACTTCTTTTGATGAGCTAGTTCTTCCTCAGCTTTGAGGGCCTCAAGCCTTTAAGCTTTGGTCAGGAAGTTGAACTCGCCACAACTAGAATACGAAGAAAGACTTTTACTCTAGTTTGGTCGAGTGACTCCCTTAGTTGAGTCATCTGTTGGTCGGTAGGAGTGCTAGGAGTTGGGTTCTCAGGGACCCATTCCTCCAGCTGACTGCAGGTAGGGATGGCAAGAAAACCCGAAACCGACGGTGAAAACCGAAAACTGAACAATTTGGGTCGGGTTCAGGGACCTCTTAACGGGTACGGGGAGGGGATCGCGGAGAGTTTCGGGGATTATATCGGGAACGGGGATGGTACTCACCGACCCGGACCGGCCCGATAGTATATATAATATATTTAAATTTTATAAATTATAATTTAATAAATGGTAGCCCAAAACATATTCCTTAAGCCTAGCCCAACTTATGAATGGTAGCCCAACAACATATGACTAAGGTCTAAGGCAGGTGACTACGACTTCTTCTACTTCGTCTAATCGACATCGCCTCCTCCATTCTTGCTTGACACTCCCGACTCCCGCATGACACCAGTTACTGCCCTACTCTCGCGGGCCGCCGCTTGCACTCGCAGGCGCAATACCCTCATGCCGATGCTGGATTACTCTCTCTTGCCATGACCCAAGTCCCCGTCGGTGCTGTCTCTCGCTCTCTCCTGCTGCAATTGAAGGTACTTCCATAGTTCCATTCTTCACAGTCTGGTAGTACTTCCATTCTTCACAGTAGAAATTTACATTTTACATATGACTTCTCTAACAATTTCTTGATTTGGGGCTTTTCCAAAAGGGAAGAAACTGTAATGTGTGGGGGTTCTTCACATAATGCATTTTTGTATGTCACATTAATAATTAATTTGTTACTTCCAAAAGGAAAGAAACAGTAGATACTTCAGATTATAAATTACTTCTAATTTGCACAATGACCTTAAATTAGACAGTAGTCAGTAGATACTTTTAAATGTTGAAATTTACCATTTCCAAAAGGGTTCTAATGAACTCTTTTCTTTCCCAAAGGCCAAAGTATACTCTAGATTATATTCACTATTTGTATTGGCTTGTCTACTTCTTTATATGTTTATAAATTTATTGTATTGACTTGTCTATATAAATCACATATAACTCTATATAACCCTATATAAATCCTCATGTATCCATTAGTTATTCTAAGTGAATATTAGAACTTGGTAACTTGATTTTGTTCATAATCTATTTGTTGATCAATGGAGTAGGTTTGGTAACTTGTATTATTTAATTTGTTTGTCTCTACATAGGTGGTATCAGATATGGAAATACAATGTAATAATTCCAATACAATCACTCCTACTGATAGTCATCCAATAACGAATGAGTCTATTTCATAAAGTAAGCCAATTGGATCATCACCTGCGATTAATTCAATGACTCAAAATGAAACGCAAACTAATGATGTCCCTGATAATGATGAAATTGAGTCGGGGGTAGAAAGAGGAAAACACAATCAATAGTATGGAACCACTTTAAGAAGATAAAAATGGATGGTAGTGATAAAGCAGAGTGTAACTATTGCAAAAAGAAATTGGGAGCGAACTCAAAAAATGGTACAAGGCATTTACATGACCATTTCAAGTCTTGTGCAAGGCGACCTATTTGAGATATTCGCCAACATATCTTAGTAGGGGAGCAACATAAGGTTGATGGTACTTCGTCATATGTTTCTAATTATACTGTTAATGCGGATAAATCAAGAAGAAATCTCCCAGAGATGATAATCATACACGAGTATCCACTTTCAATAGTAGAACATCATGGGTTCCAAAAGTTTGTGGGGGGTCTTCAACCTTTTTTTAAGGTTCCGTCTCGAAACACCATTAAAAGTGACATACTGAAGATTTATGATTTTGAAAGACAAAAGACATTGAAGATGTTAGAGAAGAACACTAGTAGGATAGCAATTACGACTAATATGTGGACGGCTAACAATCAAAAAAAGGGAACTACTCACTTTATTGATCAAAATTGGAATATGCAAAGTCGGATCATGAGATTTATTTATGTGGCTTGTCCACAAACATCTGAAGTTCTTGCGGATGTACTTTATGATTGTTTATTGGGTTGGAATCTTGATAGGAAACTGTCCACACTAACTGTTGATAATTGTACCACAAATGATGCAATAATCAACATATTGTTGGACAAGCTTCCTATGAGTTCACTTATGATGTGTGGGAGGTTGTTCCACATGCGATGTTGTGAACATGTTCTCAATTTGATAGTCTTAGATGGATTGGCTGTTCTTGGGATGGAATTGAAAGGATTAGAGATAGTGTGGCCTTTTGGACTGCATCGCCAAAAAGAGATCAAAAGTTTGAGAAAGCAGCTCGCCAATTGGGAATATCATCCACCAAGAAATTGGCACTTGATTGTAAGACTCGATGGAACTCTACTTATTTGATGATTAGTGTTGCTATAGTTTACAAAGACGTCTTTCAACGCTTACACCAACAAGAGCCTCAGTATAAAAATTTGCCAACGCAACGAGATTGGGAGTTTGCTAAAGAGATTTGTGATAGATTGCAATTATTTTATGAGGTAATTCTAATTTTTATTTAAACTTTACTTTTGTTTTGTTGATATGAGGTAACTTTAGTTTTTGTTTTTTTGGCAATCTTAGGTAACAGTAATGTTTTCTAGTTCAAAGTATCCCACTACAAATGAATTTTTTCCATCGATATGTGAAATTAGATATTCTTTGGTCGATTGGTCATGTTCTCCTAGTGAAGTTATTAGACACATGGCTAAAAAGATGCTTTTGAAGTTTGACAAGTATTGGTCTGTTATACATGGAATTATGGGAATGGCAGTGGTTTTAGATCATCGGTATAAATTGAAGTTTGTGGAGTTACTTTTTCCCGTGTTGTATGGACAAGACAAATCGGCGATTGAACTTGAGAAGCTCAAGGAATTGGTCTACACTTTGTTTCAAGAATATGAGTTTAGTAATCCTGGCGTAAGAAACAACAACGAAGGTGTTAGTGGTTCGTCTTTTTTAAGTTCAGGGTCTTCAGCAAGTCATCAGATTGAATTTAAAAAACTCTTATCAAATATTGCTTCAATTGCCAACCAACATGATGATTCAGGTACTACAACAGAATTGGATAATTATTTGAAAGATAAACTTTTGCCTAAAGACATGGAACTTGATTTGCTACTATGGTGGAAGACAAATGGGTTTAAATACCCAACACTTCAAAGGATGGCTAGAGACATATTAGCCGTTCCTATTTTGACTGTCGCCTCAGAATCTGCATTTAGTACCGGTGGAAGATTGGTAACTCCACATCGTAGTCGACTTCTTCCAAAAACATTGGAGGCTCTAATGTGTGCTCAAAGTTGGCTATTGAATGAAATACGAGATAATCTTATATTTGTTTTAGTTATGAATTCTTTTTAGTTATATATTTAATATTTCAATCATTTTATTTATTTATACTACATTGTGTTCTTTATAGAAACTTGTTCAGATGAGACCGAAGCATATTGCCGTACGATTGAGTATGATTATGACGTGGAAGAGGTAACTACAATTACAACACTATGGACAATGATTATGGTATATTTATTTATTTAGTATTTTACGTACATTTTATTTTATAGGAAGCTAAGGGAAGTGAAAGCTTGGGTTGACGAGTTTGGCCATTTGGGAGTTTTTAGTTTCAAGTTAGTAATCTAACAAATTTGTCTACTTGTCTTTCGAGTTAGTTGGATTATGTCTAAACTCTAGTTTATTTTGGGATTGTAATTTAATACGTTTTTGGTCGATCATGGGTTGATCATGTACTCAATATGATGGCCATTGTTTTTTTCTCAAGGTTTATTTGATTTTGTTTTTGTTCGATAATGGGTTGGCCAAGAAACAACCAAACAGGTTTATTTTATTATGTTTTTATTCCAATTTTTTGCTTGATAAATATTTTTTTTTTCATATTCGAGTTCGAGTTCGGGTTCGGGTAAAACCAATGGGTAACGGTTATTCTGCTCTTAACGGGTTACCAACAGGGATCGGGGAAACCGTGGGGACCCGATGGGGATCCCCAATAAGATCCCCGACGGGGATCGAAACGGTTACGGGGATGGTTATGGTTATCGGTTTTGGGGATGGGGACTATAAAAACCGGCCCGAACCCGGCCCGTTGCCATTCCTAATCGCAGGTAGTCGAGGGAATAGACAATTGAAACAAGGAGGTAAGGATTACTTGGCTTGAGGACTCTTCATATAAGGGTTTAGGAGGATCGAATAATAACTTGACGTTCCCTTCTTCAGCGATGCCTTTGCCTTTCAACTTAGGGCCCTGGTTCGTTTCTGGTCCAACCTCTTCTCCCCTTTGCTCCCCCTGGGATGCGGAATCCCTGAGAGCAACTTCTTTGGTGGCAGTGGAGGGATGCTAATACTGGATGGTGAAGTCATCTTCTTCGTCATCATTGTCGACGTCATCCAGGTCGCTGCCGGAGTCAGGAAGATCGGGAGAATCACCTTCCTCATCATCATCATCATATTCTTCTTCCACATCACCAGCAATAGGTACAGAGGTGATGGGAAGGTCATCGTTACAAGCTTCAGCTCGAACGGCATCAACTTCCTCAGATATAGGAGCTTCACTGGAGGTTGGGATATCACAGACAACCTCAGTGTCAGCTTCAGCTCTAGGAGCTTCAGCTTCATAGATTGCTGGAGCAGCAGCAGATGGTCCAGCGTCAGACCTTATCTCCCCCTCTCTGTTGATGGCTTGAGAGCATAAGCCAGAGAGTTGGTCGACGTTCTAAATCTGGAGAACCATCATCTCCTTTAGCCTTATTAGAGCATTGGCGAGGCTGTTTGTCGCTTCACACGCTTCATTAAGTTGAGCACGGTCATCAGCGGTAAAGAAGGGAGCAGTCACTAGTGTTGGTTGACAAAGAGCAACCAGGACTTGTTGTAGTAGCTTCGCTTGCTGAAGAGATTGTGCCTGTGCGTCATCGGCCTTGCTCGTGAGATCAGCGATGGCCTTAGAATTTGCTCTAATAGCCTTTTGGAGAGAGGAGAGGTGGCTTTTCATGACTTGGACTTCAGCCCTGACGGCTGAGAAGTCTGCAACAACTTCATCCCGGTGAGGCATGTCCTTATGGACCTCATCCATCTTAATAAGGACAGTCTCGACTATTGGGAGGAGCAGCTTCACGTCCGTTGACATATCATACTCTTCTTTGTCCATGGCCTGAACCTCAGACGGACCTGAAAAGGAATGTGAGTGAGCATATGGAAGCTCTTGGTTAGAAGAAACGAAAGGGTAGGAGTGTGAAGTACCTGAGGGGTCTAGCGTTATCGGAAGGATTAATGGTGGTTGGCTCCATGGTGCACTCGTGAGGATGAGCACCAGTATGCTGAGGAGCTTCGAGAGGAACTATCTCAGGTCCAGTGGTGAGTGTCTCATCATCAAGGAGGACTGGTACTAATGACTCACCGACACGTGTTGAGACCAACAAAGGAGGGGAGGAAAAGATGGCTGAGACTGGAAGTGAGTGGTCAGCGGTGGGGCGCTGATATTTTCACCTTCAGTGATTTGAGTCACTGAGGCGGTTGGAAGAGGTGCCATTGATACGACAATGATATCATGAATCACTGAAGAGATAGGATGGATAATTGAAATTGCCTTGGGGGTAAGGATCTTTTCAATAGTTGAGACCGTTTGAGAGGTCACAGCCAGAGATGTGGTAGTCCCCTTTTTGGACTTCTTGGTCCTCGAGGGAGAACCAAGAGTTGGTTGAGATGGGCGTTTTGTAAAAATGGTTGTGGTGGTTGGGTTAGACGTGGAAGGGTGTTTCCCTTGTCTTGACCACCGAATAACGAGAAGGGGGAATTGAAGAGTATTGCACCACAGAAGATAGTGCAACATCTCCATCCCTGAGCTTATGATCCAGAATCCTGGATCCAAGACTGCAGACAGGAAGATTAGCTTCCTTAGAGTATTTGTCTCCAAAGATCTTGGTGATGACCATAGACAAGAACCTGGTGTAGCGAGCTACTTTCTCCCTCTGACGCTTGTTCAGCTTAAGTGCCAGGTCGTCGAAGATGTGGCAGCAAAGTTGATTGGTCGGCGTTGGATCACTGAGATGCCAATAGTGAGAGCGAATTTGGAAGCCTGATCCTGGCCACTAGTATTTCCACCCATGCATTGGATGAAGTGGGAGAACAGAAACTGCCACACCGTCGACATGCGGTTCTTCTCGATCTTTGACAATGACTTGAGGGGCTTGCTGGATTCCTTCTTCATTAGCCATTGGTTACCAATGTCATCGAAGCAGGCGATGATCTCAGCAGTAGAGGGTTCACCGACGAAGGGACCCTTAGGAAAGCCAAGAGCGTGCCTAAGAATTGCTGAAGGGCCTCCCTAACCATGACGGGTTCAAGGTTGAGAGCATAGGCGATTGGGGACATCCGTAGGAAGGCAGCTGCATCCTCGTAGATGGTTTTGTTTGTGGCATGTCCAACAAGGCAATGTGGTTGTTGGCCTTGAAAGAGATGTCTTCCATGGTAAAGTTCACATTCTAGGCAGCCATTTTATGTTTTTGGTTGAGAAATAAGAAGAAAAACATTTTATATATTAGTAGTCCAATATTGATTGTGATCTTTTTAAGTTTTAGAACAACAAAACTTCTTTTGAAAAATCCACAAATGAGATATGTAACATCCATCTTCCTAATACGCTTAATTATGTGTTGAAAACATCGACTTTTCGGGAATCTTTTATTGGAGCTTGTAGGTTATCTTATTACGGACGCGTAGGCGAAAACCTTATCGAAAACGGAGTCCCGAGCAAAAAGTTTTGCAAAAAAAATTTAGTGTTTAGGGGTCAAAACGGGTACCCAGCGGGGTCAACCCGACCCAACTCGGGATTTAGGTTGCAAATCATAAAATCAGCCCCATTTTCAACCCCGTTTTCTCTCAAAATCAGTCTTGGTATTCTAAGGTGCGATTACACACACTTGGGAGTTAATCTATCCCTAAATCAAGTGCTTTATCAAGATTATTGAAGGATTTATAGAGAAATCAAAGGTAAAACAGCTCTACAAGTTGAGTATTTATATTGAAATCCAAAGTAAAGTACCTTAATCGAAATAAGGTTTGAGTGAGTTCTTGTTGTGCTTCACTAATGAGACTTTGAATATATCTTCCAGGGATTATTTGAGCTTGTATGGAAGTCTTGGAGGTGGTTTTCCAATTTTGATTTGGAAATGGGATTCGACCACTCGGTTTGACATTCGGTTTAATTCAACCGAATTCTATTGTGAGTTTACTTGGATATATGCCTATTATGTGCTCTATAGGTGTATGTGTTACCCATATTGTATTCATAATTGTTGTTTCATGGTTACTTTTATTCTATGCTTGTATCACTCCTTATATAGACAATATTTACATGATAACTGAATCCTATAAACAAGGAAATAATCATTATCGAAAACAGAATAGGCATCATCCTTAAAGATTCTGAAGATAGTCATCCAAATGATAGACCAACCAGAGGATAGACCAACCAGAGGATAAACCAACCAGAGGATAGACCATCCAGAGGATAAACCAACCAGAGGATAGAGTCCAGAGGCTCTGGTCTATATAACCAGAGGCTCTGGTCATCCAGAGAGGCTCTGGTCATCCAGAGAGGCTCTGGTCTATACAACCAGAGGGGCTCTGGTCCTGAAAGACTTAGAGTCCAGAGGCTCTGGTCTATACAACCANGACTTAGAGTCCAGAGGCTCTGGTCTATACAACCAGAGGCTCTGGTCGTCCAGAGGGGCTCTGGTCGTCAAGAGGGGCTCTGGTCGTTTTCCAGACTTAGTCATTTTAACACAACAACATCTTCAGAATTTTCATCCTTGACCCCGATTGCTTGATTAAACTTTTAGAATCAATTTTGGTCCTAATATTGTTCATGTGTTGGGCGCCGGTTGTCGGACACTTTTGGATCCGGGTGAGACAACCGGAGGGGCTGTCCCTACTCATCTGTCCGAGGATGGAGGATGGTTATTGCAGGAAGATGAGTAGAGGGTTTGTACACCATCCGAGAGTGGACGGATACGGATTGGTCAGTCAAGCCTAATATTTGTCTGTTGTTTTAGACTTAAATTTTTGGTTAATGTATTAATTGTGCATAGCGTGATTTTGATTATTGAAGTGTTTGTGTTATAAATTCATTTGATTGTCTTTGTTGTTTCCTTGAAATTCTATTTCTCGTTAACACATGCTTTTGATGAATGTTGACTCTTATACTTCTAGATTTTTCTTATAAATGTACTTACATGAGTCATGATGTGCATGATATCCATTTAAACTCACTAAGCTTTGTTAGCTTATCCTTTTAGTRGTAAACCTTTCAGRAAAAGAAGCTAAGAKTAAAGRGAAAGTTGTAGATCGTTGATGGTTCGTGTTGGAATCGAGGACCGTCATATTTTGGTTTACGGTAGTTTATGCTTTTGGATAGTATTTGTCACTCTTTCTGGGTTGATGTTTTTTTTTCCGATGAATACTTTCGGCCCTTTAGATGTAAATGTCGATCTAAAACTTATCTTTTGATGGTAAATATATATATATATATATATATATGTATCCCGTATTTTGTCGAGGTTGAACTTGAAATTTAGCTTAAGAT